ATCTGCTTAATACAGAGTTGTATTACACGTGCACCATCAGATTTATCTTTCCAATGATATATAATATATTCAGTATAAATCCAGAACAGATGTCAAGTCCCACCCGTAATTAGTTTTATGTATCAAAATAGCCCTATTTTTAAAATGGAAAAAAATCTATAGGCTAATCGGAGATAAAATTGAACAATTTTGTGATGAAAGTACTATCAGTCAAAGTACACAGATCATTAAAGAAATGTGACCGAACCTACATGAATATTCATTCAATGAAGAAATTTTCTTCAATTGAATTTTGGTTCGAAACACTTATACATATGCTACACGTATTGTAGTCATTTTTTAAAGGACCTCAACTTGTTTAAATTAATAATTGTTTATGGTCCAAATATATCTACATTGCAACGTGTTTGATGTTCCAAGTTTCATGCTTTACACGCATGCATAGTTTTCATAATCAAATCAGCATGGTAAGAGGGAAACCCAGTAGCCTTCTTCATTCACAAAGTCGACCAAAAAGAAACAAAAAAAAGATACATTGCGGGTTCCAGTAATTGTTCATCCAAGCCTCTTTCGTTACTCCTCACTTAGATATCGACAGTAGTGAAGGAAAAAACTTCAAGGGTAGTGCGCAACAGTATATTCAAGAAGGGAGGTGAATTAGTTGTAGATATCTCAAAAATTTACCAAAATCAACAACTTTAACACTTACGTCTTCTCAACTTTATACACAACCATTCCCCACGATAAATTAAAGTCCAGGCTTTTTGATATCAATGACAGCTGCTTTTTCAATAGAAATGGAAATAGTTAAACTACTTACCTTGTCATTGATAATTTACAAAATTAATTTGTTAAAACACATTCTGATTGCACACACAAGTACTCTGAAGTTGACATCAAAGAGATGCTTGAATTTCTGATTAGCAATATCTTTGTGATTTTTTGAGACCAGGTATTCCAACAATCTATTGGAATTCCAATGGGTACCAATTGCGCTCCGTTATTAGTAGACCTATTTTAAGAATCACATGAAGCAACATTTGTGCAAAATCTTATGCGTGAAAAGAAAAAAAAGAAACTCGACATTTAGATATATCGACGACGTATTGTCAATTAACAATGGTCATTTCTATTCCTACGTCGAAACGATATATCCTGGTTAGCTTGAGATAAAACATACCATAGAGTCTGACACATGTGTTTCATACTTGGATATTTTACTTGAAAAAGACGTTAAGAGTAATCTAACAACCAAGCTATATGATAAACGTGATGACTTTAACTTTTCTATCGTCAACTTCCCTTACTTATGCAGCAATATACCCTCATCACCTACATACGGAGTGTATATATCTCAGTTGATTCGATATGCAAGAGCATGCTCTTCTTATGAACAATATCTAAATCGAGGTGAATTATTAACTAATAAGTTGATGAAACAAGAATATCAACAGTCTCCTTTAAAGTCATCGATCATTTCGAAACTCTATGGTCGATACAATGACCTTTCCAGCAAATACAATTTATCTTTGAGACAAATGCTTAATGACGTTTTTTCATACTAATTGTTAGTCTAGTCCATTATTTATACACTGAATGGACGACGGATTTTTCCGTTATTTCCTGATCATGACAAGGAGCAAACGGCGGGTGTGACCGGTCGTCAGGGGATGCTCACTCCTCCATGGCACCTGATCCCACCTCTGATGTTTCGGAGGTCGGTGTTTGTTCTGCTCCTATTTTGTACTGTTTTGTGAACTTTCATTTTGAATGCTGTTCGTTATCTCCATATTCTTCATCCATTGGTCTGTGTTTTATGCCCTATAGCTCTTCAATTTTTTTATACAAAAGCTACTAGGTCTTCAATCGAACTATTGGAATTCCCATGGGTACCAATTGCACTCCGTAATTAGCAGAGTGACCTATTTTTGTATTCACATGAAGCAGAATTTATTCAAAATTTTATGCTTGAAAAGAAGAAAACACTTATTGTGGTCTTGAATTCGACATTTTGCCTTATCTACGACGTATTTTCAATTAACGATGGTAATTTCTATTCTTATATCGATACGATATATCCTGGTGAGCTTGCGATAAAGATATCACAGAATCTGAAACACATGCTTTATACTTGGATATATTACTTGAAAAAGACGTTAATGGTAATCTAACAACTAATTTCTATGATAAACGTTTGATACTGTCAATCACAAGGTTTTATTGAAGAAACTTTAATCATTTGGTATATGCGACGATAATTTTGAATGACTTAAATCGTACCTAGCAAAACGTGTACAGAGTGTCATTTGGACAGGAGATCTATCTGATGAAATGTTACTATTGGGGTACCTCAAGGTTCTTTTTTAGGCCCACTATTTTTCATCTTGTACATAAATGACTATCCACAGGCACTGAAACTTTCTCATGTTAATATGTCTGCAGATGATACAAGTACCTCACAAGATGTAACTGATAAGTCCGTAGAAAACATAGAATCAAAGATGTGTGAAGATCTGCACAGGAGTATAGGTTGAATGGAGCAAAATAAACAGATATAAATTTGTCTTATACTCAATGTATGCTTGTTGGAATGTTACAAAGATTATCAAAACGACGAAAACTAAATTTAGTAGTAAATAACCATGTCATAGTATGTGTTCCTGAGTCAAAATTACTTGGCATTATTATTGAAGAAACTTTGTCCTGGAAAGGTCACATTGAAGCACTTGTATGCAAGATCTCTAAATGAATTGGTATTTTAAGAATAATAATATATTTTATGTCAAATGATGCATCGTTGAAGATTTTAAATACCCTCATTTTCTCTCATTTTATATACTGTTGTATTATATGGAGTAATCCAAAAAATGCTGAAAATGTGAAAAAGCTATCTATATTACAAAAACGTTCCGCTAGGGTCATTTTGAGCATCAGAAATTTCCAAACGCCATCTTCTGTCATGTTTACAAAACTAGATTAGATGCCTCTATTAGATTGCCTCACCTTTAGAAAAGTCATCTTATTTTTCAAAGTATTACGTGGATTGATGCCTCATTATTTGAACTTTTTTTAATTATGTATCACATGTTAGCCAAAGACAAGAAATTCCAACTCAAATTTATGTTATGTGCTCAGGGCAGAAAGTGAGTATTATAAGAGATCTTTCGTTGTTTCAGGTAGCAATACGTAAATGGAATAGACTGTGTGAACACATCAGAAACTCGACGTTTTGTATGTTTTAAAAGAAACTATTTTAGAGAATTCAACTCAACAATGCTTCTTAATTTTGTAAATCTTGTATCTATTTTTTTTAAATCTCATGTGTCCTCTTCTTCATTTAAACTGTGTATTACTAAACCTGTCTGTATGCATGTTATTTTGTAGTACCATATTGAAACCTAGCATTGTTGCTAAAGTGTGTCATCCTCGATAAATAAAAGCTTTATTATTATTCATAACGTGATGACTTTAATTTTTCTCTCGACGTCCCTTACTTATGCACCAATATACCTTCATCACCTGCATACGGAGTTTATATCTCTCAGTTGATTCGGTGCGAAAGAGGATGCTCTTCGTATGAACAATTTAAAAAGGGGTAAATTTACATCATAATCATACAAACTCTACATGTACCTGTTAAAAATCAATGGCCAAAAAGAAAGAAAAAATAAAAATTGACTCATTTCGGATCAGACAATATACTCGAGTAATTAAAGCCCGGATTTCAGTTCTTTCAATACGTTGATATTAATCAGTAGTGGAATAGGTTTAATATCGAACTATTGACCGCTTTTTGTGGACCTAAACATTATCAGCACTAATAATTTGACCTCATGTACATGTACATTGTATGCATAAAAAAAGGCCAAATCAAATTTTCAAAGAGAAGACTTAAAGCATTTTATTTTCCGAGTGTTGAGTTTTTTTTATTTAAAATTATAATCCCAAATCTGAACAACAAAACTTCATGTTTAAATTTTCAATTTTGATATAGTCTAGAGCTATCCAGCAATCTAAGATAGCCAATAATTTCATATTGTGGTAATAGAAGACCTAACTGTTTTGTCAAATTAAGCACTCCCCGTATAATTAGACATGTAGACACGTTCACTGTAAAATGTGCAACCTCTCTATTGTCTTGGGAATGGCAATCTTAATCTCTGTTTATATGTGGAAATCTTTTTAAAATATGTGTATATAATCCAACGAGCAGATTGGACCTCATTAAATTTTCAAAACGACGTCAATTTTAAGATGTGGGCAAGAGTAAGCGGTGTATACCTTTAAATATACTAAATTCATTGTAGAGAATGCTCAACCATTTTGAAAGAAGAGATTCAAACAGAATGCTAAAACCTCTGTAACCTTTAAAGTTATCATAAATTTATTCAAGAAAAAGGTCCACAATTTTTCTGATATATACATAGATAAGAGAGTATACACATATAGTGGAGAGAACCATTTTGAACAAAAGAAGAGATTCAAAAAGAATACTGTTACCCCTATAATCTTTTCACTTATCATAAATTTATTCAAGAAAAGGGTCCACGATTTATTCTGATATGTACATAGAAAGGAAACATAATTGCCTTCCTTTAAAAATGGATATTCGATTACCTCTGCCAAAATGAGATTATAAGAAATAAAAAGAATAGGTGCAAATCAGCAAGTATTTTATTTTTATGTTAATGTTTAGAAGGTTGTTACTTTCGGGAGAATGTGATATTTTATTTCCAGTATAATATCCTTACCCTTAGCATTTTTAATGGGTTACATCTAAAAACCAAATAGAACTTTAGTTCTGGAAGAGCAATATAATGCACAGGATGTGTTTGAAACAATATCTGTATTAGAAAAAAGACTATCCGCTCATTCAAAAGAGGCCCTTTAAAACGTTGTTCAATAAAACAATGATATTTTTATAAAAATAAGAAACTTTATAACATTCATCAAGATTAACAAAGAATATCTAATATTTATGCCAAACTTATTTTATTAGATACTGAAAAACAATTCAGAAACATATATAAATGGGATAATATCAGATTCAATTCACATGGTAAGCATGCTTCGTTTTAACATTTCATGGGTAAACAAAATTCCCCGCAAAACCATAACCATCAGCATCTCGATGACCATAAACAATTAACCCAAACTGTGAAGCATCGATTGTTGACAAAACAAATGTTCCACTTAGGACCTTAAAGGTACGAATACTGAACTGTTTAGTTAGGGTCAACGCACTCTGATACACAGAGGTATAATGAGAAGCAGAAAATCCGTTCATACGTAGGTTGTTCAGTGATTCAGACGGAATAATTACACAGATAAAATTCTCTTCGTATCCTTCTGGTACAGTAACCTTATAATAATCAAGATACTGATGAATTCCTGGGACGACCGTCATATAGGGATTATATGGATCACCCATTCCAAAAGCAGTAACAAGCACAGGCTGATTTGATTCTATAACTGTTGTCACATTTAAAGTTACTTCAATGTTCTTGTATCCTTTTTCGTTTAAATAAAAGTTTGATACAATGCTTCCAACACTGGAGTCAATGAAAGTAAGATTTTCGCTGACAACTTGAATTAATGTTCCAGAATTGTGAAAGAAAGGAGGTACTATATATTGAGTATCAACCTCGGTTGTCGGGGGTAGTTGGGTGACCATGTGACTGCAAAAATTAGTGAATTTCTTACAACGGTTTCCAGAAAAGACTGCGACAGGTTTTGTAGACGTTATGAAGGAGCCAGACAGATCTGTGGTATGCGCGATTTGTATCGTCTCAAATCGTTCTATCATTACTGTGAAAACATCTCCGTCTCTGTATGATTTACCCTGTATAGTGAGAGGAGTGTTCTGCTTAAATTTGAATGTAATCTCTACATTTGTCTTGTTATGGAGTGCACCAATAGCAAACTGACTGAAATAATCACTAATAGTAAAAACTGGATCTGTTGATGAAACAATGTACTTGTTCGAGAGTTTCTGTGTTGGAATGATCAGCGTTCCATCATTTGAGCCTATATTAAAACTATCAAAGATTGTGACAGTTGATATTTCTGAAGTTCTTAGTATAAGACCTTTCGGTTCCATAGTAAAATATTCACAAACAAGGTGTAAAGGGAGACCTAGTGTGAAGTTGGACGTAAAATTAAAAACCGATGTAATGTTTGCATTCAAATGAGTGGATGTTAATATTTCAGCTGTTGATTCGTTGTTTGTCGTTATGTAAACAGTCAATTCCCCGTGTGCTGAGGGATAATTCTTCATAAATAAGATAAGAAACTCATCGCCTCTGCTACCTGTAATTCATTATCAAAGAATGTAAAGAAGATAAGGCATATGTTTAATTGAATGTTCAGAATGTAAAATGTCTTACCTATTGTTCCTTGTGGCTGAGTAATTAATGGTCTAACTGTTGTTGTCTCTGGTGTATCTGTTGTTCTCTCTGGTGTAACTGTTGTTGTCAATGGTGTATTTGTTGTTGTCTCTGGTGTAATTGTTGTTGCCGATGGTGTTACTTTTGTTGTTGTCGATGATGTAACTGTTGTTGTCGATGTCAATGAGGAAGTTGGAGTGGAAGAAGGAAACGTCATATCTCTTTCTATATATATGAAAAATGTTCTGTGGTTCTTTTCACAAAAAATCTTACGACTAGGACAATAAATTTCTAACTCCTCACCAAGTATCTAAGATGTGGTTGGAAATCAAAAAAGTTCATATTTGTATTAATCTACGTTACATAGAAAAAGAAAATTAAGAAAAATAATAAATTTATTTATTAAGCAAAATATTTGTGTCAAATTTTTATTTCAGTCGTAAGATTTTATTGTGGAAGGGATCACTGAAACCTTAGTAACTATACAAAAATTCAACTGAATTATTATTAGTTCATATATATTTTACTGTGACGGAGTAATACAGAGAAGTACAAAGGTTTTTTGTGTTTAATGACATTAAAACGTGATTCCTGTGCGAGTTGGAAAGATTTACCATAAGGAATTGCCAGATGTGAAGTAATTTAAACTGAGATTTTCCTCAATTTTACTAGAAAAGAATCGATCTGAATTGATATTTCATTATATAAAGAGCCATGAGAAGTCACAGTCAATGGTAAAGCAGAATAAATGTTCACAAACTCAGTGCACCTGCGCATTCACAATAGCTTAACTTTTTCACTCAATGACATAATTAATTTATAGACATGTTTATTTTAGTTGCGAAACTGCAATAATAGCATCTATTAATTTAAAGAATAGATGCATTTATTTTTTATGAGGAAAACTTTGTTGCTGCTATTTGAGTTGGGTTAGCTTTGAATAAGATCGGGTTCGGGAAATCTGAAATCCCCCCCACCCTAGCCCTGAATCCTAAAAAGAAAGGAACACGGATTTTGGAGCAGACAGAATTTTCAAAAAAAATATCTGCTTTCAAACAGGATTGTTTCTTGTCAGGCAAGGTCAACACAGTAATTCCTATTTATTTTTTAACTACAGGGATAATTAAATTACACATGAAATCATGTATTCTTGCAAGCCAGTCTAATAGGGGAGAGGGTTTTGCTCTGTGTATGAGCCATTTATTGGGAGTACTTGTCCTGTTTCTATTATAGTTTTAGGTAGTGAAGTTACATTATCATTCTAATAGGTAATTGTCATTAGAAGTGAACTTTAAAAAGTTCTATATTCTTATATACCTATTTAATTAAGAAGCTAAAAATATCCAGTTTATGATGTATAGGCTGACAGCTCAGTTATACAAAGTTTGGTGAAAAAGCAATGATGTAAATAGAGGTAGGTACTGATGTCATCAGATAATAAAATTAAAATATGATGGAAGGTTCATTTTCTGTTTTTATTATGAACATCAAAAAGATAGCATATGAAATATCATTATGAAGTATAATTTCAAGATCCCATTTGGGGTCATTGTTGGTAGTAAATCGTTGAATGCTGTAACAACTTGTGTTACTTGTAATACATGTGAGTACTATAAGCCTTGAGAGTTAATTATTTCTCAGATAGATGCTAACCTATTATAATACAATTAACATGATTTATTTTCATAGATAATTGTACATGGTAAGTTAAATAGGTTTTATCTAGAACTATGTTGCTTTAAACCAGCCAGAATCAATTCATACATGCTGCTGTTGAAATGAGAAGGGAAGATCAGGATCAGCCATTTTTATTGTGGGACAATATTTTGTCTCCATATAAATGTTTTTTAACATTTTGGAATATGTAATTTTTTATGTTTGATATAAACTATTTTGCTATAAAATAATCCAATGTAAGCTAATTTAAAAACGTTAATTTCTCATAACTTTACATATTTAAAACATCAATTGAAGCATAATTGCATGATTTTAGTCTACTGTAGACGTACTTTTTTCCACGGGGTCATAATTCCGCGGAATCTCAATTTCTGTTTAATCCGCGGGTAGAAAATTACGCGGATTTCTTAGACTGTCACTATATGCCATAGTTTTATATTAAGTACGCTAGGACAAATTTCCGCGGAAAGTATGAGTCCGCGTACATAGTGTAAATTAATATTACGCGGAAAAAAGTACTTCTACAGTATTTATTATACAGACTGTATTCAGCTTAGGAGGGATGGGGGGGTCTAGAGTTATTTTCAGGGGGTTCATTTCAGTTTCCCAAGTAAATAGGTTAAGATTTAGGGCGGTTGGTTGTGGGTCAGTTGAATGAGGCTTCCCCATTTTATGGGGTGACCGAAACCTATAAATTCCAAAGGTTTCGGCCATGTGGCGTTTGCGCCGAGCCATTCAACTGATGCTATAATTCATTGTGCTGCTGCTGCTTAAAACAAACCCATTTGCTGTCAAAATGTGTGCTGCTTTCAACAAATTAATGAATTTGTCTGCTTTGCTTGATTGAAACAAACTCAGTTGCTGTGCAAAATGTGTACTGCTTCCAACAAATTTCATGCACATTGCTTTGCTTGCTAAAATATTTTTCGTAACGTTCGCGGTTAAATAACCCGGAACGATAACTACATACATGTAAATTTGTAAAGTTTATTTAAAATACATGTACATAAAATTTAATTGTAAGTAATGGTTATAAGCCGAAAAATGTCCATTATGTCAGATGTTAGACGACCAGAGGCGCGTTAGCGCCGAGGGAAGTCTAATAGCTGACACAAGTAATAGCTTTTCAAAAAAGCTTGATTGACTAATGCAATCAATATCTATAGAACCTATAATCATGATAAGTAATTTATATAAACGTTTACATTGGGGTGAGGGGTAATTATTTCATTAGAGTAAATTATGAAAACGTCAAACAAAGCATCATGCATTAATTTTAAGTTGTCTGCTACGTATGAAAGCAATGGATAGCCTCGATTTTGAAAGGGGGGGAGCAGCTAGAGAATTTTTTTTTTCACTCACCTCCAAAAAAAAAAAGAAATATGCCCAAAGGTGAAAATCCTAGTTCGGGGAAGGGGGGGGGGGGGGGGGAAGTGACCAACTTTTTTTTCAGTGTCAAGTTCTTTCTGTATCCAATTTTTTAGCATTTAGTACTGCATTTCCCTTAAATAAATTTCCTGTTATATACAGGGGGGTCCAACCTTTCAATTAACATTTCCTATATATAGTAAAAGTGTGGTTGGGAAAAAAGTGGGGGACCCCCCCCCCCCCGTTTCTACTTGTCTGATGGAAAAAGAACAGTGAGATTTTATGTAAAAGGTATATTTTGTATGTGTTAAAAATAGGTTTCGATCTGTTTTTCGTTTGTTGTATAAGGACGCCTGTGGAGTGTTACAAATACTTGGTACTCAGGACCAATGAGCAGTTTCATGTAATCTTTTGCGTGCTAACACCTAGTGCGACTCGGAACTTGGTTTTAAACGGTCTCATCCCAAGGACCGATCTCCACGTCCTGCAGTGGATTCGAACCCGCGATGTAAAGCTCAGTTCTTCATTCTGCAACTCTATAAATGGTTTTAGAAGATGTAGTAATTAAATAACGGAAATGAACTTATGAATTAATGTATGCTTGAAAGCTATGCCCATGTAAAGGTTATAAATTAATTCTTAAAATTAAAATTTAGAATTAGATTCAACTGCATAGACTACCAGGAAGACAGCTGAGAATATGATAACTACAAGAAATAAATGAATCATTATGATTAACATGCAGAATATGTTTAAGTACTAGATTGTTGAGAATGCCAGATCATCAACGATTGTTGGAAACAGCCCGTTATGCATAAATGTACCAACGAATTTGACGGTTATTCCTTATATTCCTCAATCCTGGAATAGGAGGGACACTTTTCCTAAGTCTATTTTCTGTGTTTCATATAGGAGGAAGAATTTTCTGAAAAATCTCTGAAAACTGGGGGGGGGGGGGGGCTGTGAGTCCGGGCGAGAAATGATCAGAAATATTATGTATATTTGGCCAGTTTTCCTCTTAAGAACGTTTTTTTTCCGTTTCGTTTTATTTACTTTAAATAATGTAACTTCTAACTTCTTTCACAATATCACCGATATGTTTTTTCCCCAAAGTTCGAAATTCCGATAAAAAGATTTCATTTCCTTTCAATGCAGTAGAATCATCCAGGAAAAGGGCGCGAAGATATACACGTGACATTTGGCGCAAAATGATTGTGACACCCCTTACCTAGAAGACAAATGGACTCATCCAATAGTACAGAAATGCAGAAAAAAAGGTCAAACGGACATGTCCTTATATGAAATCGCATGAAATAAACAGCTGCATGCAAAAAAACTAAAGGAAATAAACACATCAATATATTGTATCAATAAGACGGTTATTTTTTTCTGCTAAATGTTTTGTTGAAACGGAGGTAACAAATTCCAGTAATAATCAGCATGCACAAAATTTTGCTGGCTAACTGTGACCTCTTCTCTTCGAACCTTGGAAATATCAATCCTTATACAGCCTGACGCCGTGACGTCAGGCAATAATGGTCACTTTGAGGCTTATAACTTACTTAAAACATTTCACCATTGTCGAACACTTCCATTGTTAACTTATTGGACAGCCACAGGTAAGGTCTCGTTCTGCATGGATGACTACCTGGCACTGTTCATCAAGTTAGGCCAAAGAAAACCAGTTTTGGTTTTTCTTCTGTCATTATTATTAGTAGGAATCACCGAGAGTGTTTTATATCGATAGATATAAACATTAGCTTTGTTTAGTCTTATTTATCCGCATTGCGACATTTTTTATATATACTACGCATGCGTAAAGGTCAGTTCTACTAAATTCTTTACAATTTATTCATTTTACAACGCATCGACCACTCGAAAAAAAAAACACCTTCAGAATCGGATGTTTTGGCGATGCCATTTATCTATTACACCAAGATGCCTCAGTTCAGGTTTTTACTGTGAAATCCAGATATATATTCTTATGTTTCGGAATTCGCAAGAAACTGTTCCCGTTAACAGGTAATTTTTGTAAAGCAATAGGATTTGAAGGATTTTGCTCAAACAACTGTTTATTAAAGCATTTTCTATGAAATTGGGAGATTGTTCCTGATGTATTTTTTAAAAATGCAATTCTCTTTTGTGAGCAGGTTTCGAACTCGGAGGGATTTTACTAAAGCCACTCCTTAAAACGACAGATACTCGCTTAAACGACGCAGGACCTGGTGGACGAATGGTCATAAATCACCGGACGAAATTACAGATTCCGTTGGAATTTTGTGAGCTAAATTTTGTGCTAAATGCGGAAAAATGGATATTTCAGTAAAGTTAAGAACAGCTATTTATAAGAACCAGGCAGAAATGAAAATAAGTGATTCATGATAGTGATAGATTTTTCAAAAACTATCATATTTACATTAAGATACATCAAACTAAATACTTGATCACAGTTATAAATGGATTTCATGCATAGCTGATTAACAAATGAATTCAATATATACTGAAACAGTCAACAATATCCATTGAAAGGTGTCTGTACGTGCAGGTGATTTTTTAAGAAGGCCCGCACTCTCCATGAAAGTGAATTATAAGATATTGAACATCTAGTATCAAAGAGTAAAAAACAATTAAAAAACCCATGGGTTATTTTAATTACGAATATATATTGTGATTTTAAATTATGTAAAAACATGAAATTCTAGTTATCTCCCTTGGCACTCTTTAGTAAAAGGAGTTGGAAAGGGTGTATTTAACTCTTCAGTTTAGAAGGTGACTATTTAAGAAATGTGTGTGATTTCATCTTCATTTCGGAAGTTTTGCCGGTTTTCATACATCCAAGGGGCATGTAAGTCTAAATTTTTTATTAGAAAAATATAAGCCTAGGATAAAAAAATAACTGCCTGCAATTTGCTTAATTTTATCTGACAAAAACACAATTTTATTTCCTAAACATGCTAAATGAGAACAGAGTTTGAGTGTTTTGAAAAAGGCTAATTTGTTTAACAATAACATCAAAACTACTTAAATTCAGTTAATTTTGGGAAAAACATTTAATTTTGTACTGGAATTTGAACAGTAGCTCGCTGCTGGGGATTACAGTATGATGAGTATCTCTCCTTTCCGTCGATACTCCCTTATAGTGCTGCAATATACACAGTCGACTGGAAGAAGTCCTCGACCTCAGCATACATGAAGTCATAGCAAGAAGCAGTGAAAGCCACAGCAGAGATTGGATCGAGCATAGTTTTTTTTTTCTATGTCTCGGCGCCTCTATGGATGTCATATTTAGATCAGGTATTTAATACATAACACAGACTGTTGTCTAAACAAAGACACTATTGACTACTGGTATTTTTTTTTTTAATTGAAAAAGGTAAAAGTCAAGAAAAATTGATATCAAACATACAGGCTGACTGCTAGTAAAAGTTATCAGTCCTGCTAAAAATCTACCAGCCTGAGAAAATAATTGTCTTTTGTAAAATTGATTTTTGAAACTAGAGGTACTGTGAGCAATGAGCAAATGATACCTCCGGCCTCCCATATGAATATGCATAATAGTGTCCATGTTTTGCTGTAGGAAAGTATTATATTAATAATGCCATACTTTTGTACAATACCACTGTTTTTTTGCCTAATTTTACTCTTAAACACACGAAATCTCAGGAACTTCTGGGGCTTTGCCCCCTGGACCCCCTTCATTCAAACTATGGTATGACTAACAAATGACTGTACTTTGGAACATCACTATTAAGACCCCTTGCCTGAACAAAGTTATCCACGCCCCCCCCCCCCCCCCACCTCTCTTCCCCCTTTTAATCACAAATCCTGAACTGCTCATTCGGAAGTGATTAATCAAATTAATAAATTTGAATTAATGAAAACTTTAAACAAGTCCAGCTGGGCATCGATATGAGCAAATTGGTTCAGCCCACAGCAAAATTTGTGCATCTCGGGTGGTCAGGCGCACTGTTATTTCAAAAACTGTTTTCGGAATGGCCAATGGCTCCTTCTTAAAATCGTGAATATTTAATTAATCCCTGAAAAAAAAACCCAGATGTTATGGCAAAACCATATGAATATTTTTCTTATTCATTTAATCAAAATGTAAAATTGTGCCCTTTCAAACTCTAAATTTCCAAACAATTTATGTGTATGATATTCTTCAAATGCATTTCCTTTTATTTGAATTATAAATAAGGATGGGGAATCCTACAAAATTTAATTGACACGCAAAACAACCAATAAAATACTGTTATGGTTTTATCAGTTGAAACAGGGGGAGGGGGTGTTAACCTCCCCCAAAAATCTGAAACCCCCCATAAAACCCTATCCGAATGGGGGGGGGGGGCTTCCCAAATATTCCTACAAGCAAATATTTACACACATAGAAAGAGAGAGATTTATAAATATGAGAGCACATACAATATGCATGGGTTTCTGCCAATGTTTTTGTCTAATTTAGGTTTAAAACTTAAAAAATAAAATTTGATCCTACAAAACTATAACTCTTTTTCAATTTTTAACTAATAGTATGAATTCATGATGATATCACTAGTACATGGAGGAGGGGGGAAGGTAAATAAATATTTATTATCAATAATTCAAAAGCTAAATTGTTATATAAATGTATGCATTCTCCTGTCATATGATGAATTTCATGATTTGTTATCGTTTCAGATGCAATCTGAGGCTTGTTCTGAATTTCAAAATCCCCTTTGACAACACCTGCACAGCTGAGGTAATGTAAACTTCAAAATTGAGGACAATCGTCATCAAGAAAAGATTATCAATTCAACTAATGTTAGTGTTATATATACTTTATATTATTTATGTATCATTAGATAATTTGGTATTTTGTGTTGACAACTTGCAATTTTTTTTTTAATTATCATTATTTAAGAACATTCCTTTTCGTTTAGCAATCAAGGACCTTCTGACTAAGGGCTGAATTATAGTGAACACTGCCATTCAGAGACTTTCAAACAGGTATTTCTTCTGATCTTGATTCTCTGAATTTTTTAGCTCACCTGGGTTGAAGGCTCTAGTGATCTTTTCTGATCAAAGTTTGTCTTTTGTCTGTCATTGTCATTCTTCAAGGGGAGAGAATTACAAAATTACCCCGGTACTAGCATTAATGATATCTTCTCAAGAACCAATGGCCCAGGAAATATGAAACTTATGTGGAACCATTGTCGGGTAGTGTAGATTCAAATTTTTCAAATCATGAACCCCATATGTAGGACGGGGCCACAACGGATGATCAGAGTTTAACATAGGAATATATAAAAAAAAATATTTTAAAATCTTCTTCTCTGATACAGCAAGCCTTGATTGGTAATATTTATATGAAAGCATTTTCAGGTGGTGTAGATTCAAGTTTGATCAAATCATGACCCCGGGGATAGGGTTGGACCACAAAGGCCAATCAAAGTTTTAAATAAGAATATAGAGAAAATATCCTTTAATAGAAATATTCTTCTAAAGAACAGAAAAGCCAGTAAGTTATATATACATATTTACATTTGCAAATGTTTTCCTTTATATAACACTACTGAAAGCAAGCGTTTTTATTACTCTATAAATACAGGTACGGGGTCAATAGGTCATAGATATGCGTTTGGATAAACGTTCAACGTAATCTCTGTGTGACGTCATAAAGGTTCAACGCGCGTTTAGTGGATTACATACATGCCGTTGGGTTTGATAAATAACGCATTTCTCACGTTAAAGTAACAATCAGGCAAATTTAAAGTATGAATAAGTCACAAATGTAAATATAAGTAATAAGGTATCATTTTTTGAGTTTTATTGAGATGTATATATGGTAAATATGGTAGCATTTTCTCGTAGCGTTGATTTGTTCAAATCATGACACCCCACACACACACCCCTCCCAGGTATAAGGAGGGGCCAAAATAAAAGTTCAAACTTGTAGGGAAAAACTCACAGTTACTAAAAAATAAGTACCCCGTAAGTATCCTTAGTGTAGATTCAGTTATGTTCAATCATACCCCTCCCTCTCTCTCTCTCCCCCCTACAGGGAGAGGTCAGGACCACATATGTTTTTAAGCTTTTCAATACAAAGCTGATTTTTTATTTTTATCCAAGCCAGGTGAGTGATGTGGCCCTGGGTCTCTTGTTAAATCATTTATCTACACATATATATACAGTACAACTTGCATCGGTTATAACAAACTAAGACCTGTAAAAGTACTTCGCTATCCATATTTGTAATTTGTAATATTTATATACTTGGGGATCCAAGAAGACTTCTGTGAATTCACAATGTCTGTGTTTGTACTAAACAAGTTTTACTGCTGTTACATGTATGTGGAAGCCAAATAGGAGTAAAAGATGTATTATTGTAAATGTAACACAGTGTCATCTTCATTATTTTGTTCAATCCATACAAATGTTTCTTTGAATATTGGAAACTAAAATCAGTAGAAAGTTAGAAATTAGAATTTATAAAATGCAGCATATCTAAACAGAATTTTTGTTGTTGAAAAAAAAAAAACCTTTTCAGATGAGCAAGGCTGTAATAGTCATACTAATATTCAGAATAAATAACAGCTAACTACTTGAGGCAAGGATGGGGTGAGGGTTAAAGAAGGGGTTACATTACTTGAAAATTTAGAGAAGAATTGTAGAGCTGAGGTTTTTCTCAAGAACCACAGGGCCAATTTTTACCAAACTTGGCAGGGCTAAGACCCCTTACAAGGGGTGATAATCAAGAAAAGAGAAAAATAGGGAGCCACTGGGTCAGAAAAGCTGAAACTTATGTGAAAGCATCCAGGGATTACCGTATATACTCGCCTATAAGTCGGTTTTTTGGGAGTCAATTTCTGGTCCAACTTTGTGTCCAACTTATAGGCGAGCTATAAAAAGAATGGAACTATACGAGGTCAGTCCACCTGAAATATAAGCTTTTTAAATACAACCGACTTCTAGGCGGATCGACTTATAGGCGAGTACATACGGTAAGTGTAGATTCTAAATTGTTTAAATCATGTCCCCCTCCCCCTAAGAATAGACCTAAACCACAATAGGTATTACAAGTAGGAAAATTTGGTGTAGAACAGAATGACCAGTTACTCTGGTGAGTGTTATGGACCATGGCCTTCTTGTATTCATGATCATGATCATAGAGAAAACGAACCTTAGCTACTCTCTTCCTTCAACAACAACAAGAAAAAATTGCTTTATGGAATGCCTATTTTCATTAACAAAGTTCAAATTTTGAATTATATTTTTTTCAGATTGATGAATGAACCACATGCATTATGTCAGAGGAATCTAGCTGGAGCATCTATTTAGCAGCCAGGACACATAAATGTACCTGTACAGTTGATACAGATAATCTCAACAGCACATTTCTAAATGATGGCCAAAAAAATCTAATAAAGACACTGTCAGTTTAAAACTTTTTGAAAGAAATCCAGACCAGAAACAAAGGATATTGATTTTTAAGCTCCTCCAAATGTAAAAGGGGTTTTATTGAAACCAAGACCAGGATACACCCAAGGATATTGAATATTACACCCCTTCAACATAAAATTTTGAATTTTAATTTGCCTATCTAGTCAAGAACATGGATTTTTTGTCATTTGATACACTTTATAATGTTATATTGACTTTTTTTTCAAGATTTCTTTACTGTAAACTATATATTTCAGCAAAAAGTACATTTACAGATGATTTTTCAAAAATTGCTTTAAAAATACAGTTGAAATATTTAGATCTTGTCTCATAAATGGTTAATCACAGTTACCACAGAAACCAAATATTTGTTTTAAAAAAGTTACATACAAAAAAATGTTGTGTCTTTCAATATTTTACTTATTTCGTACATTGTTCATATAAATTGTTTGATTTTTCACTGCCTTTTACATGGTGTTTACTTATTCGCCTCGCCCTTTGTTCTCATTTTAACGTTACCTGTACCTGTCCAATAAGTTGAATCTTATTGGACACCTACAGGTAACTTATCGGACGGGGTGCAGGACAATAACAAATATATTGAACCAGGTTAAACAAAAGATGACGTCACAAAAAATGTTTTAAGGTTAATTACAGTTCGCGATATACCCGGAACGGCCATTATTATGCTTATTATAAGTACATGTACATGTAATATTATGCTTTCGTGTTGCTTGCTGCTTATTGATATTTGGGGTCGTCCTTTACGCTTGGCGAACCCTTGCTGCTTTTAGATATGCCACGACCAACAATCGCCAATATCAAAATAAACGTGTATAAAGTCATGTTTGTTTTATTTTCCATTATATAAATAAATATATTTAACGAGGCCGAGTCTAATTCGAGTGCGCATCACTTTGCGCAGTTTTTTAATTTCATGCAGTCATTAATTATTTTAATTTTAATACAAAATTAACATTATTTGTAACTCCTACTGATCTGAAAATGTGATTTTACGACAATTATTGGAAAAAGAACGTTGAAATGGCTCTAACAACGTCACCATAGATATGTATTTTTACCGTAATATGGCAATTTTAGAGGTATTTGGCTTCGACTTAGACCAATCGAGATGGTGAACTTTTTTGAAATTTCACAATTTGGTGACATTTTACATTTACTTTCATTTACTTGAATGAAAAAGAAATCCCTAGGGCAGAAGTACAAAAAATATTGAAAAAATGTAATAATTTGGCGATTTTCCAACAAATTCCCATAGGGTCCAATAGTAAAGTTTGACAACATTTAAGATGGCCCACTAAGAAAACGGGGTGGTAAACATTCGATATTTTAATCCTTAAACAATAAATATTACAGTAAAAATTAATTATCAAAAAATCATAAAAATCCCTAGGGCAGAAATAATTAGACTCGGCCTCGTTAATATCTAGAAATTTGCCCACATTACATTAAAGGTTCTGCTGCATTTTATCTACTAAATACAGTAATGTGGTCATGGGTAGAAAAATGACTCCCTGTGGATCTAAGCTGAAAATTTTAGGGAGCAAAAAAAATTAGATAAAGAAGCATTTTGACCAAAATGATCACCTGAGCTAATTGGGAATAAATTGATGATATGTTGATATCATAACATTATACAATTATAGCTATATTTTAAGGTCAATGCAATGATTCAGAATCTAAAGAGTAAAAGATATATCAGCCCTAAAGGGTTAGGTAAATATTGTTTTTCGATGGTGGAAATCATCGTACTGAAACAAAAAAAAATCAGCAGTATTATAGCAGTATTATATATTATTATATCCTCCGCTTGAAAAGCAGGAGGGTATATAGTGATCGGAATGTCCATCCGTCTGTCTGTTACGCTTTGGGGTATTCATCTCTTATCCGCAACTCCTCTTACAATATAAAAATATGTGTTTGTGAAACAGCTATGCCTATGGCAACATAGCGAAGACTAAACTTTTCTTATTGGTACCCAAAGTAGGGTTTTCTTACAAGAAATACAATTGCAAAATAGGAAAGCCCTTGCACCACTTGTTCAAAAGTAATGGCTGAGAATTAGTTTTTGAAAGGTAAGTCAAACTCAACGGTCAAAGGGTAAAAGTTTATGGTTTCTTAGGAAAGGTTTAATGTTACAAGGATTACATATGTGAAGTATGAAAACCCCATGGCCCTTACCGTTCGAAAGTTATGGCCAAGGTTAAAGTTTTTCTTATAAGTACGGAAATCTCCGAGGTCAAAAAGTTTTAGTATGCAGGTCAAGGTAGTGCCCAAAAAAATACATATATAAAGTATGAAAGTATTGGTATCTACCGCTTAAACGTTAAGGCCAAATAAAAAAATGGCATTTTTGTGTAAAATGGGATAAACTCCAAGGTAAAGGTCAAAAGGTCAAATTTGGTGGTATCAGAAGTAAAGTCTTGTCACAAGGAATACAAATATTAAATAAGAAGTCATAGCTCCAATAAATGAAAAGTAATCGTCAAGGTTAAAGTTTTTGCGGACAAACAGACCGCCAGATAGACCGACAGACATATAGACGAACTCGATAAATTTAAATACCCCGGAATCTTTGATAACAGGGACATAAAAAAGATTTTCAATTAACTTTTCATGTTATGATACAGTATAAAGAAGACGTTACAAAAATGAAAATGTTTGTTTTGATTTTCATATTAAATTCTCTAAAAAATATACTCAGAACTGGGTATAATAGTGGAGTAAAACAAGAATTAAGAAATGTAATGAATACCGTGTGCTGAATCAAATGGTTATGTCTACATATACATTTTTGGCATTAGAATGTGTATTTTACACTAGTCCATAGCTTTACATAGAATATTTTTAAGTGTTATACCCACCCAACCTCCAACCTATTTAGGAGGAAGTCAATTATCAACAAAAAAAACAACAGCAAAATCTACCCTACCTTTATTTTTCTATAAGGAGGGACTAAAAATAAGCCTAAAATAATCTACTATTCTAATCATTTTCAACTGTTACTTTGCCACAATACTTTAAAGTATACCTCCATCAACATTTAAAGTATGCTTTAATCATGGCGAAGCAAATTGTGATATGGTAGTACTTGTGTGAATGCTTAACATTTCAATATTTTATCTAGAGCCTCTTTCAGTAGTATAGAGTTTTATTTCTATTTCTGCTTTTCTTTTCTTTTTTTTTTTCTTTTTTTATTGTTTGATCTAACGTAATGTTCTTTTATGGGGGGAGGGGATAAAAATTTCTTCCTCTTCCATTGTCAACTAGGATTTGCCAAACTTATACAAGCTAAAAGTTGAAATGAGGGAAAAAAAAATTTTTCCTATTAAAGAGTTTTTAAACCTGATGTTGCATGGTTTGATTTCTAAAAACAAGTGGAATATCATTCTTTAAGCAAACATTGAAAGGAGGAATATTAAAATGAAATTTTATTAACTTGACAATTAAAGAATTTTTTATTCAAACACATTTTTAGCCTTTAAGGACTACGTGAATCTCTAAATTATTTCATACGAGTTTTTGTATTTTTCAGGTTACAGAAAATGTAAAAACTAGTTTTACTTGTTGTAAATTTTGTATCACTTTAAAGGGGGGTTATTTTTCAATGGGGGTCAATTTTTGATAAGACTAACATATGAAATAATGACCCCAAGGACACTTTTTCTACAAAAAATGATTTTTTTTCTACGGGTGGGGGGTCATTTTTGTCGTTGGAAAATGACCCCCGGTCATTATTCGATGGGGGTCATCATTCGTCTTTACACCGGCCATCAAACAACTTTATTCATCTAGAAATGAAATGCAAACAATAGGTCACATACATTTTGTATACATGCAACATTTTTCATCAAAATTCACAGTGTGATTATCATCTTTGAGACCTTTTGGCTTCAAAATCAATAGGCCTTCTCTGTAGGTCACGGGGGGCTGTCATGTAGTATTAAGTTGCAGAAGATCAAAGGATTCTCGAGATATCGCTTTGAAACAAAGCAGGGGACATAGGAAGTTATGGCATGAAATTTAATTGCAAAAACGCTTTTTGAGATATTGCCCGGAAAGTTTAGACACAGAAAAAAATGTATGAATTCATATAATTATGACAATTACTTTTGACCTTTAAATAGATAGGGATCTTCTTTAAGTCATAGGAAGTTGTGGTGCAGGATAGCATTGCAAAATCTCGAAGGTTTCTCGAGATATCGAATGGAAATGTAAGGGTTAAAACAGACATATTTTTTTTTATTTATCATCCTGACCTTTTACGTCTTAGCCTCAGATCAACAGGAGTCTTCCTTTAGCCATATAGAGTTATTGTGTAGAATTTTGCTTAACATTAGACAGTTGTGGATTGTGGTAGTGGGGAACACTCGATCTGATCGCTTGGAGTGCAAGTTGTTGCGTAAGGTTGTAGGCCGCTGGCAACAGTTCGCACTTTGGTTTATCAGGTCGACTGTTACCTGATACACCTGTCAACAACGTTTCTCTTATCTTCCTTTACTGAATGAAAAGATAATTCAGTTTAGCATCATTTGACGTCAAAGGGCAACATTTTTCAAAAGTCTATTTTCACAGGTTCTGGACCGACAGTTGGGGAAAACAGTCGAAATTTAATTAAAAAAATCGTTTAAAATTAAGAAATTAAAAAGGAAGCGTATGGTAGGGGTATTACAAAAATGATTTATACAATTATTACAGATAAAACCCTTCGACGTAGACGTCTGGAGGAATTGAAGATATATTAACTACGACAAAATTTTCCAATGGATCAATCAACATTGGAAGATGAAAAGACATACGAAATTCCCTAGAAATCACCGCCATAAAGACGACAGCAATGATGACGGGAAAATAACCTTTGTAGTTAACCATACGAAAGCCCAGAAGGCTCATTCGAGATTCAAGTTTCGAAAAACGAGATTCGAAATTCGAGATGCGAAATTCGAGTTTCGAAATTCAAGATCTAAACTAACTAATCAAATGCGGGTTCAACATTTGATTACTCCCCTTTGTTATGTTGTTATGTAAAATCCTAATAAAGGGGAGTAATCAAATGTTGAATCTGCTTTTGATTGGTTAATCTGGATCTTGAATCTCGAATTTCGAATCTCGAATTTTGAATCTCGTATTTCGAATCTCGAATTTCGTAATTCGAACCTCGAATCTCGAATGAGCCTTCTGGGCTTTCGTATAGCATAGTTGCCAGTAAATGCATATCCGTCAGAAAATCTATGTCCGTAGACAGTTATTCCAAATGTTGCATTATTTGTTGTCTTTAATACTACTGGTCCGCTGTGTACTTTAAGAGTACGAATCATGAAAGTGCTCTTCAATGCTGCAGGGGTTACGCGCACAGTTTGATAGTTTCCAGCAGATGAACCGTTTATCTGAAGGTAACTTATATACGTTTGTGGAATTATCACACTTATATAGTTTTTTGTATATCCTTCCGGTAGAACAACATTATAGTAGTCGACATATTGGTTAATTCTAGGATTGACTGTCATGTAAGGATCGGAGCCCGTATACTGCCGTTACCCATTCCGAAACTGGTAACCAATACGGGATTATCTGACTCTAAAATAAATGCTTCTTCTGATGTAACTTCAGTGTTCTTGCATTCTTTTTCAGTCAAATACCACTTTAATACTTTTTATCCGATTCTGATGTGAATAGAACTTCGAAATTCAGTAATCACTTGAACCAACGTTCCTAAGTTACCGTAAAAAGGGGGTATGCAAACGTAGACGAAATAAGATATTTTATTACCAGTCTATTTGTTGGAATAATAAGAGTTCCTTCGACAGAACCGTAATTTAAACTTTCAAATATAGATACTGTCGATAGTTCAGATGTGTGAAAAAGTACAGCTTTTGTCTCAATTGCTAAATAATCACATGTCAGATCAAAAGGGAGTGTAATCTTGGAAAAATGAGAAATATTCATTATTCGGTCGGTTGCTAAAAAGAATATTACCTGTTGAAGTTGAGAATTGAACATTGGATGATGTTGGTGAAGTTATCGTTTCAGATACAGCAGTTTTTGTTTCTGCTATCGTGATTGGTTCCATTGTTTCTTTAATGGTGTCGGTAGTGGTGGTGAAATTTCCTGTTGATAAGAGGGAAGATATACTTATATGTTTTATCAACACCTGGAAATTTGACGTCTTTATATCTTCCTCAATATATTTTTTCTTAAATAATATATTGTTAAATCAAATAATAATTGACAGCTAATCTGTAGAGATAACGGTACATAATATCAAATTATTGTTCAATATAACTTTCGTACACATGTTTAATATCCCGTTCAAGGTCAGATGGCATTTTCTCTTGAATGTTTGATCAAGTGTTCAAGAGTTATCTTTTTTTTCTTTTAGAAATGACCGGCCACGGTAGCCTAGGGTAGATCATTCGCTTCGTGATCTGGAGGCCGGGGTTCGATTCTCATTCGCGGCGCCGTGTCAAACCTTAGACGTAGAAATAGGTATTGACAGTTCACCAAGCGCTCGGCATAAGAAGTGAAAGTCATGGGTCTTCCGGATATGACCTTTAAAACGTAGGTCCAGCGTCCTTATAGGCGTTTGCGCGATAAAGAAACCCTACCTGATAGGCGCTGGAACCCTCGCGGTTCAAAGGCCCAGATTGCCGAGTCTAAATTTAAAGCCCTTCACTGTCATACGGAGACGTCTCTATATCAGTGAAAAATGCTCGAATTGAAAATTAAAAATTATACAATCAATCAATCATTTTCTTTAGAAATACAAACGGGTATTCAATTCTTAATATTGTATGATATCTTTTTGAATTCCAAGAACTTTTACCAGTGTAGCATATAATTAGCAATTAAAAAAAATTAATAACAATAAACTTCAAATCAAATAGGTACTGCGGATTTTGTCGAGAGCGTACTAGAGGTAAAATACGTAAGGCCGCACATAGATAAGAAAAAAATGTGTAGACAACCCTGGTTTTTATACAGCACTAAAATACATGAGTGCAGTCATCTGATCAATTCTTCCAGAGAATGTCATTTTCTTCACCTATGATTTGATCTTATAGTAACAAATACGAGGGTCAATCCCTCTTTGTCACTGAGCAAACTCAAGTTTGTTGATTCTTGAACCTTCATTGCACTGACGTGGGTACTTTTGTATCTAAGTATATATGTATTGCCAGTGGTGAGTGTGTCGTAATTCCTGAATATCATAGTATGGAGACATCAGTGTTTGTAAATTGTCAAGAGCACTGGTGTTAGGATTTCCCTTGCATCTTACCTGCTCGCCCGTAGAAACGACTGCGCAAGTTTTCCGACGTCTTTTCATTGTGCACTATTAGAGACTTTTTTGTGTGTTTTACGCAAAGTTAATCAGACTGACCTTTGTACATATTTGCAGCACTTTGGAGCTATTCGTTACCATCATAGGTAGAGGCCTGATACGATTCAACGGCTATAATTATAACTTTCCTTGCAGAGTTCAGTGAAAATACCGCAAAATTTTAGTGCTTCGCTTAAACTCTCCAACATAGTAAGATTTCCAGCGATGGAAAACCCTGGTGCCTATGAAGATTGAGTCCTAAGGACAGAAATTCAAAGGATAACTGCAGATCTCTTTGAGATCTTGCTATAAAACTTGAGTTTGCAATGATCCAAAATTATTTTAAATCTAAATGGTGAAAGGTCAGAGTCAAAGTTTCCAGAAACACTTCAATGCTGTTTTTGCAAATATGTTGAGGAAAAAGTCAGGTATTCCTGACCTTGCTAATTTAGTGAAATATACAACGACAATTTGGCGATATAACTCTAAGCCGGATACTTTAAAAATAAAATTTTGTACAGATCAAAAGAATGGTTTCCTTAATACGGCAATTAGAATTTTGAACGCATTTTGCAATTTGCAATTCAAAAGTGAACTGCATGCTCGAACGCAGTTCGCAATTCAAATTTTAAAATTTCATTTTGTCTGAAATTTTGTGGGTGGGGTACTAGGGGTCAGTTTCCACTTTTATGAAAAACTGGTGATGTTTCCGAGATATGGCCCTCCAGTTTTTAGCCCTACTATATAAAACTATACGAATATACATCGGACTCGGTATGTAGAATACATCTACTTCATGTGGATCTCCTATAAACAGCAGGCAAACACCTTCTTATTATTCTTTTCTTTTGCAAAAAAACCCTAAATTAAAGAAAAATGTATAAGCCATGAGTTTTCTCTTTCAACTTTTTATCCCCCCAAACGAAGTTTTCAGGTGCAAATAGGAATCAACGTGTCCGTCTAGTTGTCTGTCCGACTGTCTAGCTGTCTGGTTGCCTTTGGAAATGGGTCTGGTCCATATCTTTCTTATGGTAAACTTCTAATACTTTTATAAGGAATCTGCATATAAATAGAACACAGAATAACTTTTCTAGAGAAGATACAGACTGTATTTGAATAATATATTAACATCGCATTCAAGTTACAGGCCTCTTATATAACAATTAATGATATTTCATTTAATAACAAAAGACATGTTTCATTGTACAAAATGGCTTGAAAAGCTTCACAATATGTACACCCTGCATCAAACTTTACAAGATGACGTCACATTGACAAGTGCATTGGGAAAAATGAATCGTTATACCAGGTATTTTGTTGTATGTGATTTAACAAACGACAAATCTGCATGTAATAGTAAGTTTTATGTAGTCTAAAGCTATCCAGCAGTTTAGAATAGCAAATTATTTCATTTGAAGACCATATTATTAGTAGTAGTAGTAGTAGTAGATTTATTCAGGTAAAAATCAATGTATGATACAGGGTGGTACAAATATAAATAATGCATAAAATGAAAAATTATTATTATTTTGAGTGACGTCATTGTTAACATTTCCCGTATAGAGGCCCCGCCTCCTTGCTACATGTATAGCCTTAAATATCCTGGATAGATATAACATACTTTTGGTCCCTCTTGCCTCCTTAAACGGACCAAACCCTTATTTTATCTTCGTATAAAATGAAAGATCTTGAGATTTAAAAGAATTTTTATTCAATATCCATTCAAAAATTTATTTTCATTTACGAAATGGGATGAAAAATTAGTTCGTGGCTAGTCCTTCAAGTCCGTTATGGTCGCCCGCGTTGCGCACTGGTTACAGCATCTACTCTAGAATTGCCCAGTAAAGGGTTAAGAGGCAATCCACCGAAAAAAAACAGACAATCGGTGGCACTTTGCATGTCATGGATTTTAATTATTTTACGCATTTAGACTTATTTTAGCAAGTGTTTACGCATGACAACATAAAAAAATAAAGTTCTCATCTAGTCCTATTTTTGGTAATTGCTTAATTTTATTGCAAAAAGGTCAACATGGGGGTAAAAAAATTCCTACGTTTGAATTTTGGTTTTTATGTAAGAGATACTCAAAAGCTGGATGTGTCGATAAGTATTACGAGGGTTGTTCGAAAAGTTCGTGGACGATGTCAATCCTTGTTTTATTGCTCACTCGAATTTTAAAGCAAGCACTATATACAGTACAGGCAACGCGGATCCCGTATTAGACCGCGTCCCCTCCGCGGTGTATTAATCCTTTCCGCGTTACACCGTCCTGGGTTTTGATCGCGGTGCTACCTGAGACCGTGTTTACACCGCGGCGATCCAGCTTCCGTTCTTCTTCAGCTTAATTAGATGTTCTTACCTGTAAAGTCTTGTCGATTTTTAATGGGGTCGAAAGGGGGGGGGGGTAGCCATTTAAGAGTACGACCACATTAATATTATGAATACCATTAGAAGTATTTTTTTTTAATTCATTTTTAAGTTTTATCAATTTGTTTTTAGAAAAATTATATACCAATAGTCACTCAAAATTGATTAATTCTCAAACGCGTCTGTTGACAGTCATATTGGATGAAATATAGTAGTATAATTTATCGAATATATTTATTTATAAAATCATATTTATTTATAAAATCAATAATCTCACCACAAATGATCTTCAAATTGCTAAATAAGTAGAATTAATTTTAGTATTTAAAGAATGTCATATCCCTTCTTTTTTTATGCACCGTAATCCAGTGTTCACGATTAGCGCGTGCAGTTGGAGTTACATGTAGCTATGTGTTTATTTATCTGCGAGGTTCTATCACAGCCATTGGTTTCACTTTTAAAAATGCCTTTTATACAGTGCACATATAAACAAAAGCATGAAAAAGGACAATACATGTACAAAGAGATACATAATAACAATCAAAATTAAAAAAAAAACAACAACAACATGTGTACATGTGGGAATATGTTGCCCAATTATTATGCGCTATATTGTAAGCCTATGAACCAGATATCGACATGATTTTTTATTTAATTATTTTCTTTTTTTTTTTAGGGGGGGGGGGGGTTATAAGTAATTCTATTCAGAATATCAATATTTCATAGCTAGTATTTTACTGTAGTTATATTTTCTGCTCTTTTCGAAAATTATTAAAGTCATGTCTATGATAATGATGAACAAATTTCACGTATCGCCGATCGGAAAGGCTGACTCTTCTATCAGCCGTTTAATATGGGCTCTAAAATAATTTGAACACACAGCACAGAAATTCTTAAACTTATTGTCATGAAAATAGTTCAAGTTTTCAGGTGTCTGTGTAACTGGTCTATACCCTTAACGAGATACCCGCAATACCTTCACATTACGTAATCTTACATCATGAAGGAACACTGACGAACAATTATGAATAAGATGAATAAATGTCTTGGAAACAATCATATCAAACTGCATGTTAGTTTCGTTAAATATTGGGTGTTTAGCTATATCTGTTCCTGTGTTTTCCTTAAACTCACATATTAATCCACAAATGGTCAATAAACTGAAAAAAAATCAGCGACAGCAAAATGTACATGTATCTGTTCACGGCAACGATTATTATGGAATTTAAAAAAATCTGATCCATTAGCAATTTCATCAAAATTATATCATGTTTAGTTTAGTTTAGTTTTATTCGATAGGCTTGAGAAATCAATAATTTTTATTCTGATCAAAACGTGGACAAACGGTCGTGCACGTGCCTCAAGTTGCTATTGTAATCTCTCTCTCTCTCTCTCTCTCTCTCTCTCTTTTTTTCTCTGTGTG